TCAATGAAGATCAAGATTCAAAATCCATAATGGAAGGTGCCATCACATATGTGCAATTGACAACAAATGAGGAATTCGAGGACCTGCAACCAGGCGACGATACTATGTGAGTATTTTTCTCATACAAATAATAAAATAAAATATATATGGAGTGTTGTGTGAACGGAAATATGACCCATCATTGTTTCTGCGTTATGGTGAAAATTTACCTGATTTGGGGTTCGGGATGAAAATTATCATAAAACAAATGAGAATAGAATGGTACTTCCAAATAGCATTGTCATTTTCTAAGTATAAAATTCATAATCTGCTAGAAATTGTCTTTTCGAAACTCGGCCTGGCAATGCACGATCCTAACCTCACTTCGCTCAGTTAGTTCGCAGTTTTCAGTCATCACGCGGTCGGCTGATGATTTCCTGACGAATGTGATTATAAGCATCGCCTTCGGCTCAGTCTATAAACCTACATTTGTCAGAAAACTGTAATGGAAATAATTATTTCACTCATTAGATTTTGTTGGGATTTTGTCACTAAACAAAATTTTTCTAAGTGGGTTATATTATTCAAAAATAAATGTAAACCATGAAAAAATAAATGTGACCAGTGAAAAAATGAATGTATACAACTATAGAGCTACTATTCGGAGAACTTATTTCATTTCTCTTTCCCGATTAGAACTATCATTGCCGCGGTTGTTAAATTTATTGCACCAAGGATTCATGGCAACACTGAAAGACTGGACATGGATCGATAGTTCCTTTTGAGCAACTTGGAAGGTTCAGAATTGAGACTTTTGTTATGGAACGACGTCGCACATATTTATCGCGGAAGGATTGTAGATATGGTATTGGAAATACGCCGTCCTAGAATTTTCTCGGTCAACACAGATTTTCATAACAGAGAACAAAATTTACTTCCATTCGAATTAGCAGTTTTCGATAATGGAAATACACAAATTATTATTCGAGGCTCTATTCATCAACAAGTTCTAGAAGCTCCTGTGATTCAAGAGGTCGCTATGATGCATCTCGCCTCTCATGAGGGCACAGTTGTTCGTAAGTAACAATTTCCACTGTTAGTTGGTGAAGGGAATTTTTATCTATGAATTGATTAACCCAACTTTTAATTTAATTTAATTCAATTGATTAATTAGACTAATGTCAGAACGTGGGTTCTTATGGGATATGGCAAAGGGCTATACTTTCTATAATAATTAGCGACAAAAATCAAAGGATGATTAGATACCGAGAAACATAAATCATTTTCATTTTAATTTGATGTTTTCAACCTTTAAACGGATATGAAGTTCTGTGAGACCGCTATTGAAACTGTAGTCGATTATAACTATTTATAATTTTATTTTAAAACTTAAAATTTTTTGGGATCTTCCTATTCCATCGTTTGCGGTCGATATAGTCCNGGTTATATTATTCAAAAATAAATGTAAACCATGAAAAAATAAATGTGACCAGTGAAAAAATGAATGTATACAACTATAGAGCTACTATTCGGAGAACTTATTTCATTTCTCTTTCCCGATTAGAACTATCATTGCCGCGGTTGTTAAATTTATTGCACCAAGGATTCATGGCAACACTGAAAGACTGGACATGGATCGATAGTTCCTTTTGAGCAACTTGGAAGGTTCAGAATTGAGACTTTTGTTATGGAACGACGTCGCACATATTTATCGCGGAAGGATTGTAGATATGGTATTGGAAATACGCCGTCCTAGAATTTTCTCGGTCAACACAGATTTTCATAACAGAGAACAAAATTTACTTCCATTCGAATTAGCAGTTTTCGATAATGGAAATACACAAATTATTATTCGAGGCTCTATTCATCAACAAGTTCTAGAAGCTCCTGTGATTCAAGAGGTCGCTATGATGCATCTCGCCTCTCATGAGGGCACAGTTGTTCGTAAGTAACAATTTCCACTGTTAGTTGGTGAAGGGAATTTTTATCTATGAATTGATTAACCCAACTTTTAATTTAATTTAATTCAATTGATTAATTAGACTAATGTCAGAACGTGGGTTCTTATGGGATATGGCAAAGGGCTATACTTTCTATAATAATTAGCGACAAAAATCAAAGGATGATTAGATACCGAGAAACATAAATCATTTTCATTTTAATTTGATGTTTTCAACCTTTAAACGGATATGAAGTTCTGTGAGACCGCTATTGAAACTGTAGTCGATTATAACTATTTATAATTTTATTTTAAAACTTAAAATTTTTTGGGATCTTCCTATTCCATCGTTTGCGGTCGATATAGTCCGGTAAATTTTCGGCACATAATTGAATACTGGATTTTTATTCATTTTTTTTTGCCTTCAGGTGTGTTGGGCTTTGTTCATGCGAAGTTCGTAAGACTGAGAGTTGGAAAGTTGATCTATGGCAGCGGTGCCGTGACTGACGGCACTCACCATCTCATCATCAATATCGATCATTTTGATCAAAATTGGGCCCACAATATACGAATGGGAAGTCACGTGCGACTCCAGGGTGTTGTGAGTCATAATCGTCATCAAATACTCATCTTGCGAGTGCTCTCGATCGTCGATGTTAACGTGATAGATGATGCTATTATGAGTGAGAGAGAATTGAGCAGAGATCACGGAAGAATTCCGGAACAGGCAAAAGTCATGAATGCATCGGTTCACGGTCATATGCCTCCAGGCTACGTCTCAGTTTATGCAATTCCTCAACCTGTGCTTGCAGTAGCTGACGGAGCTCCAGACAGCGATGCTCAACCCCCACTTCCATCTGCAGCTGGAGCAGATGATGAGATTGCCCAACCTTTGGAGGCTGCAGATGGAAGAATGAACGAGGTTCCTGAAGTAGGGCAGGTAAATGCAGCTGGGGGTGCCAATATTGCTGATCACGAGAAGGTGGCTATTGCTAAAGAAATATTGGGTCAAGTGGGAGAACGGCATCACGATGTAGTAGAGGCTAGAGGCCATGATCATAGGGGAGTAACAATTGCAAATGTTGATAAGGAAAAATCTCCACTATTTGACAGAAATCAGAGAGTGTCAGAGAACAGTGAATCGGAGGAGCTTGCAGAATCAAGAGACAAATGTGGACCATCTAAGTTACCTCGAAAACGGGGTGAAAAACTGTAACGAACATGTGGGGATGTTCGTTAGGACACGATGCTGCCATAAAAACAACTAACCCCCCCGTGACACAGGAAGGCGACCCGTGAGTAAAAGGTAGCGAGAGAGAGAGAGTTTCATTTTTCCACCCCGGGGTGGTCAGAAGTCCAATCCTCGTGAGGACCATGAGGTTTGGGGGTTTCCACGCCATGGTGTGGCTAAACTTGTGTCTTAATTCCATAGTATTTAGTTTAATCTCAAGACCGGCATAATTACGCGTTTTTGAGGGCCCATGGGATTATCGCGAAGAAGGGCCAAGTTATGAGTCATCCGATAATTCTTATGGGACCACCCTATTGTTAATCCTACGGCAAATCGATTAGGTCCGGCTGAAATGCCGGCGCTCCAAATTATAACGGATTTTACGGTGGTTAGATGGTTACGTTTTAGATTTTCGGTGGAAGGTCACGAGGAACAAGTGCAACCCTTTTATCCCGTGAATTGCCAGGTTGCTTAGAGTTTTGAAAAATTAGGAGAATTAGTAGTATCGGTCTTTTAACCCCGTGAATCCAGGAGAACCGACCCGTAGGAGGCGCCAAAAACCCTTAGTAATTTTCCGAACGCCCACCAGTTCGGTCCAGGTAATCTTTAGTCAATTTTATAAAGTTACGTATAAAGAAATTCGAATTGCGTATTTGTCGCGGTTGAATTCCCCAAAAGCCTTTGGTGGCGCCAACAAAGCCAACGCTTGATGTGCCGAAAATCTCCGCCAATCAGAGCCCGTCTCTGTTGGCCGGAATTCGCGCTGCGGTTAGTGCCCGTGACACTGACCCAGGGCAG